GGCGGTGGTCCCAAGGGTGGAGAAACAGCACAGGCCGGGCACACGCACGGACTCCAAGGGCACCGCTGTTCTCCCTGTCCGTCCTAATGCTGGCTTTAGACCTAAGTCATTGTGAGTCTCAAGCCCTCCTCACTCAGCACAGCTACCTGCTCGTCTCTCATCTCCACGCAGTGTCTCGCGAATAACTGTCCAGACTTCCGGCAATTCAGTTCCCACTGAGACCTTTGCGATAATAGCTCTTCTGTTTTTTAGCAAGATAAACTCTATACAGACCTAGATATTGCCTCTATGAAATGTCTTTTAAATGTTATTAAATTCAAATTTCCCTACCTAGAAAGTATGTGGTTCACGGTGTTAAATATAGAAAAAGCATTTGCACAAAGCCTGCATCAGATTAGTTCCCTGTTTAACCGATATAATTAAATATCAAATTGATCCAGTGTGGAATATTACTTTGCGGTGGGAGCTGTGCCACCAAATACTTAAAAGCTTTTGTTGTTTCTTGGCTGCAAGGGATCAAATTAAGCCATAGTTCCACAGGCCTCATTTGACTTGAAACTTTTCTAATGCTAAAATGCTTCCCATGATAGTGATTAGTTATCAGTCAGCGGCAATCAGGGAGCTAAGACAATCAAAGATCACCCGAAGCTCAAGGCACAGCCTAGGTGAAGTGGACCAGTGGCAGCACAGCACTTACCAAATCATTCCGAAGGTCTATTTTTATTTAATGGGAGAGAGAGAGAGAGAGAGAGAGAGAGAGAGAGAGAGAGAGAGAGAGAGGACATAACCAGGAGTGTTGGAGTTATTCTTTAGAAATATTACCTGTACAAGGACTAGGGAGCTGCCCTTCTGGATAGTGTTCCCCTTGCAAGTGGGACCTGAGTTTGCACCCCCAGCATCTGTCACACCAGCATGCCCCTATAATCCCAGGGCTAAGGGTAGAGTGGTGGTGGACATGGGCAAATCCCTAGGTCATCTAGCTGAACTAGTGAGCACAGGCAAACAGACACATTACACATGTGCATAAATCACACACACACACACACACATAAATACACACAGAGAAAGAGAGAGACAGAGACAGAGGCACAAAGAGGAGAGAGAGAGAGAGAGAGAGAGAGAGAGAGAGAGAGAGAGAGAGAGAGAGAGAGAAGAGACAGACAGACAGAGACACAGAGTGTTAATATTACCACAAGGGAAACCTAGACATTTTTTTCAAAGATTTATATATTTTTTTGTGCATTGGTGTTTTGCCTGTATGTGTGTCTGCACGAGGATGTCAGATCCCCTGGAACTGGAGCTATAGACAGTCGTGAGCTACCATGTGGGTATTGGGAAATGAACTCAGGTCCTTTGGAAGAGCAGCCAGTGCTCTTAACTGCTGAGCCATCTCTCCAGTTCCAAACCTAGACATTTTATCTTTATTATGATACTAAAATTAACTTGAGGTAAATTCAAAAGTCGCCTCGCCACCCATGGTCTGGAGGTCAAGGACATCAAAACAGGAAGTACACTAGACTTTATTTGGGTCTCCCATGGTTCAGTGGGACAGTGTCTGCAAGAAGGTCAGCAATGTTTTAACATTCTCCACCAATATTATGAAGAAGAGCTGTGTAACTCTACTTCTTCCTCAAATGCCCAGCGTTTCAATCTCTCCTCCTTTGTTTCCTCTGAGATAAGAACCCAACAACCAATTCTTTCATGCTCCCAGACAAAAGAAGCCACAATGTTTTCCTTAGTGGACTTCAAAAGTATTTTGATGTGACTGTTGTGACTCGTATGTTTTTCTCTGTTCGTGTGATCGTGATCACGTTGAGAAAGCTGAGAAAACTTGCTGAGTTGGTTTTTTTGTTTGTTTTGTTTTGTTTTAAAGAGGTTCAGCTTCAATGTGTCCAACCAAAAACTTTTTCCTCCAGAACAGAAGTCAGGGCCTCGCAGCTTCTGTCGTCCTGGCTCAGACGCTACTCAGTTCCGCACCTTGCTTCCCAAATGAGGTGTTCCTAGCAGAACCATTCCCTCAGGGACTGCCTCAGATCTGTTCCTTGTTCTTTCCCCCAGGCTGCTTCGTAGACAGCTAACTGAAAGTCCCATTTCTCAGTTTCTCAGGCTCCAACTGGAGAGCACAGGATGAGAGGCCCATCTTCCTGTTGCCAAGCGTGGACCACCTGCAGCACACTCACGGTTCCAGCTCCAGGCAGGGATCCAGTTCCCACTATAGATCAATCTGGATTCTCATCTCCTCCCTTTTTCCTAGGAACCCAGGCTTACCTGCTTTCGGGTCTTTCAACAACTCTCTAGCGAAGTCCTTTTTATTTAGCCCCTTCTGTTTGAAATATCTGGTTGGTACTCGATATTAGAACATCAAAGATAAGAGTTTGATTCACTCTGAAATTTAAACATGTTTTAACATTGATCACTTAGCTTTCAGATGTGATAAAGACAAAGTGAAATACAGAAGCCAGGGGAGAAGTAGTTCCTGGAACCACATGTCCAAGCAGACTGTGCCATGGAAGCGTCTAGCAGTACCTTTGTTAGTAAGAAACGTAGCCTGGAATATGCAGGTACATATCTCATTAGAATTGGCATTAGGAAAGGAAACCAAGTGTCCCCCAAACTTCATTTAGTGGGTATTTTGTCAAAAGTGTGTCTGTATAGACAGCACAAGGAAGAACTCAGGTCCTTCTCCTGGTAACATGGACATTAAAGATATGGTGGTCACTGTTGCATACTTGGTCAGAAGTTATCAACAACCTGCAGTGTAAAAGCTGGAGTTACCCCGAGTCACAGTGAAGTCCAGGCAATATGTGATCAGAGACCCTGTTCTACTGAGAAAAGAGATCCTCTTTTTCCTGCTCCACTAACATGCTAAGTGTACAGTGGTTTATCTTTGGCCAGCTCTCTCTCTCTCTCTCTCTCTCTCTCTCTCTCTCTCTCTCTCTCTCTCTCTCTCTCACACACACACACACACAAAAAAAAAAAAACCTACACTGAGGCATATTATTTATGAAAGCTCGGCCTTAGCTTAGGTTGTTTTATACTAGCTCTTGTAACTTAAATTAACCCTTTTCTACTAATTTACTTTCTGCCTCGTGGCTTTATTACCTCATCTCCATACTGCCCATTCTGCTTGCTCTGAGTCTCTTGGCATCTCCTCCTTTCTTCTTTCCAGAGCTCTCTGTCCCCAGAAGTCCCACCTAACCTCTTCCTGCCTAGCTAATGGTCATTCAGCTCTTTATTAAACCAATCACAGTGACACCTCTTCACATGGTGTAAAGGAATATTCCACTAATGTAGATGAAATTCTAAACCATCTTATTAAATAAGAAACACAGAGCCAAATACAGAGTTAAAGCCAAAGAGATCAGAGCAAGAGTCACGACCACCTTATCTGACCACCTCGACACCGTCACGTGCGCGAGAGAGCTTCTTCCTGTGTGACTTGTCTTTTTATTGCCTTTCTGTTCTGCCTTCTCATTGGCTCTAAACCCAACCACATGACTTCCTGGTCACTGCTTGTGTATACAGACACCCAGGTCTCTATGGTTGGTACTGAGATTAAAGGTTCGGGTCACCACGCTTGGTTGTGTCCTTGACCACACGGAGACTCTACCTGCCATGTGATCAGATTAGGGGCAAGTGCCACCACCACCAGACTTCTGCTTAATGGCTCGCTTTTACCTCTGATCTCCAGGCAACTTTATTTATTAACATAAAAATAAAATCACATTTCAGCACAAATAAAATATCACTATACACTAATATCTGGGGCATACTGATTAGCTTTTAATTGTCAGGTTGCCACAAGCTAGAATCAACTGAGAAGACTGCCTGACTTAAGGAATGGTCCAGATCAGGTTTTCCTGTCAGCATGTCTGTCTGGGATTGACTTGACTCTCATTTGTAGGAAGACCCAACCCATGCCCTAGGTCAGACCCTTGCAAGCCGTGTGAGAGTGAAGAAAGCTAGCTGAGCATAAGCAGTGAGCAAGCTCACTGCTTGGGCGCCATCGTTTCTCTCTGCTGGTGACTATGGATGTGAGGGATGAGCTGCTTGAGTTCCTGCCTTGACTTCCCCAGAAGGAAGAACCATGATGCAGAATTATAAACCAAACAAACCCTTCCCTTCTCCATGTTGCTTTCTGTCATTTGTCAGGCCAACAGAAATGACACTTGAATACAAAGTAAGAAACCCCTGACCTCCTAACCTTAATGTAAAAGTTTTTAATTGTGGTAAAAACAACAACAACAACAACAACAACACACACACACACACACACACACACACACACACACACACACAAACGACTTGAAATGTACCATCTCAACCATGTTTGAACAATATTTTACTAATTATCTGAGAATTTCATACTGTATATTTTGAACATATCCATTCCCCTTTCCCTGGCTCCTCCCTTAACTCCCTCTCTGTCTCCCATCCTTCTCCATCCACCTTTGAGGCTTTGTCTCTTTTTTGTTTCTCTTCTTTAACTTCTAATATTTTCTTTTTTGTTTGTTTGTTTATTTGTTTTGACACAGGGTTTCTATGTGTAGCTTTGGAGCCTGTCCTGGAACTCTCTCTATAGACCAGACTGGCCTTAAACTCATGAAGATACGCCTGCCTCTGCCTCCTGAGTACTGGGATTAAGGGTGTGCACCACCACCGCCCAGCAATTTTTAATATTTTCACCATGGAGCTCAATATGCGTTACCTAGCTGATCTTGGGGGTGAAGCCTATCCTGGTGTATGGTTGATCTACAGGAAGTCACATTGTTAAAGAGAACTAACCCTCCCTCTCCAAGCACCTGTCAAATGCCAGTAGCTGCTCAGCTAGTGGTGGCATTGTATACCCTACACTTTTAGCCTGGGATTATGTCTGGCTGGAGCTTGGGGAGGTCTTGTGCATGCTGTCACAATCACTATGAGTTCACAAGTGCAACTGTGAGAAACACTGTGTTTCTTGATGTTATCTACCACCTCTGGCATTTCAACTATTTTGAAATGTTCAGATCAGTAGTGTTATGTACATTTACATTGTTGGGCAGCTATCACCACCATCCATCTTCAGAACTCTTCTCACCTTGCAAAGTGAGTATGTACACCACTAACCAAGTCCAATTCCTCTCTGCGCCCAGTCCCCAGCGACCATCTTTCTAACTTGTACCTGTGATTTGACTATTGTAGATACCTCAGAAAAGTAGTATTATAGAGTACGTATCTTGATGTGATTAGTCATTTCAATTGGCTTACAGTCCTCAAATTTTATCCATGTTGTAGCATGGCAGAAATCACTTCCTTTTTAAGACTCAATGAGATTCCAGCCTATGCCTGCACACTGTACTGCTTATCAATTCATCTGTCAATGGCATTCGAGTTTCTTCCATCTCTAGACTACTATGCATAATGCTACAATGAACATGTGTGTATAATCTCTCTTGAGATCTTTATATCAATTCTTTTGGATATTTATCTAGACTAGGATTTCTGGATCCTATGGTAATTGTTCTTTTAACTATTAGGAGATTCCCCATACACCTTTCCATAGCAACTAAACCATTCCCATCAGCAAGGTACAGAAAGGATGAAGTTTCTCTTCATAAATACTTCTGGTCCCGTTATATATATATATGGCTAATCTAATGTGTGTGAAATGATTTGTTTTGATTTTCATTCCTGAAAATATCAGTGATTTTGAACAATTTTCCATGTGCTTATCTACATGTTTTCTTTGGAAACATGTCTATCTAAGTCCTTTGACTATTTTTAATTGGGCTCAAGAACTATAGGAACTCTTTATGTGTTACTGATATTAACTCCATTTTCAGATATGTAGCTTACACATATCTTCCCATATCCCATGAGCTGCCCCCACGATGTATTAACACCATCCTTCAATGAATGGTAGCTTAAAAAAAATCTCAATGTATTCCAATTTATCTGTTTTTTTTCTGTCTGTGCTCCTGATGCCATATCTAACCCAAGGCCAATGTCAAGTAGCATTTCTTTATGTTTTCTTTAAAGAGTTGTATAGAGATCCATCCACCCGTTTTGCACTAATTCTGCATGTTATATAAGGTGGAGGTTCAATTTCGTTGTGTTACATGTGAACATGCAGCACCCCACTATCCCTTTGTAAAAGCTGGCATTTTGCTGGGTGGGAATGCTCTTTGCTCCTTGTGTAAAATCATTTGTCCATACATGTAAAGGCTTACTTCTGGCTTCTTAAATTAATATGTTTTATTTTTGTGGTTTATATATTTGTCTTTATGCCAGTACTACAATGTTTTGATGATTGTGGTTTTGTGATAAGTTTTGAAACCATGAAATGTGAAACCTCCAAATTTATTCTTTTTTATGATTATTCTAGGTATTTGTGAAACCCTGAGATTACACATAAACTTTAGAATAGATTTTTTTTCTAATTAAGCAAAATCTGCTAGTGGCCTTGATTATTAAAACCAACTAAACATTATTAAAACCAACTAAAAACCTGCCTTCCAAATTCCTGAGATCATGCCAATACTGCATTAGGACATTTCTCTACACTTACTGGTAAATAGGCACACATTGGTGAATAAGCACACATTAGTGAACAGGCACTCATTGGCGAACAGGCACAAATTGGTGAATAAGCACACATTGGTGAACAGGCACACATTAGTGAACAAGCTCAAGACACTGCCTCTGCTTCATATCTAAGCCTGAGGTGGCCTGAAAGATTCTACAGGGCACCACTTTTGTAGAAAGTGACAGGGATCCAGGCTGCGCCCATATTGTGGTTGGCTGTGTTGAACCTGAGATCTTCAGGTTTGCCCAGCAGGAAAAAAAAAAAAAAAGCAGTACAGAATAGGCACACTAGTAATTAACAGCCTGCATGGAGGTGTGTTCCCCAGACAAGTGAAACACACACACAAATTCACCAGCATTTCAATCACTAGTACTAGGCACTTAGCCCTCAACTACACAGGAGGCTGAGGGTCAGGCTGAGGATCATGTGGCAGCCACCATGGCCACCCCAAGCATTTCTTTGCCTTTGAAAGACACCCCTTTTCTGTGGGTTGCCTTCCTGTTTAATTTGGTGTCTGTCATGGCTTCCAGTTCTACTCTGTTTTGAGAACAGAAACAATATGTTGTATATTGTGGTGTCTCCCATCATATCCTGCAAAATGTCTCTCCTATGATGCATTCAACATTCAGTCTAAATACTTGAGTTTCCACAACGTGCACTGTTTTTAGGGACTGGGAACACCTTGGTATGAAAATTCTCTGAATTCTATGTATCTGATTTACAGGATCCATTAAGTATCCACCCAAATGAATGTAAACCCAGAGTCATGCTGAGTATTACAAAGGACAAGCACACCATACTAAGAAAAAGTATATGATCTCATAACTAAATTTGCAAACAATGGTGATATTGAATAGACTAAAAGAATTCCTTATGTGGACTGTGGAAAATTCTGCCCCATGGAGGTTCTAAGACAATGAGGGCAGGGGGAAGAAAGAGGTAAACATAATGGTGCCAGGCAATTAGCAGGTCCTTCTGAACTCCCTTGAGGAGTCAAATTTTCAAACAGCATTCCCCAGTCTCCGGTACTGTGCCTGGTGTGATAGGCAACATGTCAGGAGTAATAAAGAAAAATAGCAATGTAACTACAAGCAGAAGAAACACATCTCTGGTGTATTTCCACCCTGCCAGCACTTTTCTGTCATACTCTAATGGGATCACATGAATAATTTTGTTTGCTCTAATAGGAACCCAAAAATACATAATCTCATCAGGTTGTTTTGATATCATGGTCTGAAGGAAATGAATGTGAGCATGATGAAAAGAAAAGATAAGCAATATAAATACAGCAAAATGGAATATTTGTGGACATGATTATTTTAGATATTCATATGGCATCTGTGATAAGAGTGTTGTCTCTGCTCGTCTCTCTTTCCTGATGAACTATGGGTAGTTATCCGAGAATGGCAGGCGTCTCTGTCTTCCTATGTTTTTATACTGGGAAAAGAATGTGTCTCTTTGACTTACATATGTGTATTTATTTATTTATTTTGCTCAATCGTGTACTTAGGAGCTTGCAGTCTGCTCCCATGGCATAATCCAAATGACTTGGACAATTTGTTATTGTCAGCTTTGGAAATGAGAATATGAAGGCGCCCCGCAGCCCTGAAAACACAGCAAGTCAAATTCTAAAAGCAGTTATTTAAAATTATTTCAGCAAAGCCTCCTCTTTTCTTCCTCCTCCGGGATTGTTTGGAAAATTTTACTTGGGTTTTGCCTGAGCTGTTAGACAAGTTACTCAACTTCCTACTTGCTTGTGGGTTGGGTTGAAATCCAAAACTAGATCAGCCAGAATTCACATACTACAGAGCATGCATATAATAAGCATTTAATAAACACTGGTTGAAATTAAGTCAGTTGAATTGAACTGAACTGAACTGAAAAATTAAAGGCTTGTGTGGTTCAGCAAATTAGAACATTCTGTTAAAAACGGACAATCCAATCGCTCGCCCTACAGCAACATGGTCTGCCCCCACACAAAGTGTAGGTGTGCGAACAATCTCGTGCTTAGTCAGTCGTGCTCACTAGCACTGAAAGCAGGTTATTTTTGTTGCATAATGTCATTGTGAATTTCCTGTCTTTGTAATTCAAGAAATATGGGCCTTTACTGACCAAAAGGAAGAAATGAATTATTCAACAATGATGTTGGAAAATTGGCTCAGTGTCTGGAAAAAAATAGTCCTCAGATTTTCACTTCGGACCACACAACACAATAAATTCGAGCTGATATTAAAGAGTGAAATATAAAAAGCAAAATCCCCCAAACCTGAAGGAACATCTCTGGTGAGGACTGGCAGAAGAGCAATGTAGGGAATAAGGGTACCTCAGCTTATGCTTTGTCCAACTGCATTGTCTTTTCACAAACAAGAGAAACAATGTTCAAGCATGATTGTTAGAACGAGCAGAAAATATGAAGTGAATATTTTGTTAACTGTAGATAATGAAATAAAATCGGTTCTCTAGCATGATTCCTTAATGCCAATAAGAGCATCAGACAAAAACAAAAAACAAAACAAAACAAAAAAACTAGTAAAAAAAAAAAACGAACTTGGAGAAATATTTGAAAAAAAAGTCTTACAAAGCATTAATATCTTCAGTGTATAAAGACAATTGCAGCTTACAAAGAAAAGCATGGAGGATGAATTAGAAAAAGAAAGAGAGTCTGAAGGGAATATAATAAAAACATAACCCAAACATAAGCATTTCACCATTGCAAAAGGATATTTATCATTACCTTATTTATAATTTTTTAAATTAGACTCAATCTCAATGTATAACAAAACAACACCAAGTAGACTACTGTTTGGAGAATATGTAATTGTGTAAGTACAAAAAAGGCTTTAGAAATATACAGCAACTTGTAAAACGTATGTACATGTTATTTAAGCAATTTTGTGTGTGTGTGTGTGTGTGTGTGTGTGTGTGTGTGTGTGTAAATACATGCCACATGTGTTTGGCTGTTGGAGGAGGTAGAAGAGGGAGTCTCCTGATGCTGAAATGTTACGTTTGTATGCCGCCTGATGTGAGTATTAGCAACTGAACATGGGTTCTCTGGAAGAGTAGTAAGCACTTTGTAGCTACAGATTATTTCAGATATTCATATGGCATCTCTGAAAAAATGTTGTCTCTGCTCACCCCTCTGTTCTCTATGAACTATAGGTAGTTATCCAAGAATGGCAGGAATCTCTGTCTTTTATTTGAAGCCTGGCTCATCTTTCTTAAAAACTTATTCCAATATTTTTAACCTGATAAAACAGCACAGAGACGCTGAATGAAGGGTTCTAAAGGTATCTCTGTGTGCCCAGCTGTAGTACCGTTCTGCTTAACATACATCAGGAAAAACAATGGCTTGATAGTGCTTTGACCCACTTAATATTAACATCTATGCCCACACTCTGTCCCTACTGTCCTGTCTCCTGCTGGTCTGCCTCTTTTTCACCAAAGTTCTACATAATAATGACACTTTTCTGAAATAGATCATGCCCCCACCCCTTCTCTGAGAAAAGCTTAGACAGACCAAGTCAGACTAAATAGGTGAAAGGTGGCTCTTCAGGGATCAGTTCATTCATTTCTTTTCTCTGGTGTGTAATAAGTCCTATGCAGCATCCTAAATGCACATGGATCATCTAGATGCCTTCAGACATGAAGGTGTCTGTCAGTCATACTTCACCACTTGTCCATTTGTTCTTTCAGGATGATCTGCCATCTGGTTGTACTTGGATGGTTGTTTCTGTGGCTGTTGTTTGGTAGAAAAGTAGATAGAAGAGTAGACAAAGAGGAAGGCTGAAACAAAGGCAACATTTCATGTAATGCTGCATATTTCACGTTCAAAGCTCTCCATTTTCTAAAACTGTGCCAGACCCTTCCATTATAGGGTAGTTTTTTTTTTTTTTTTTTTTTTTTTTTTTTTTTTTTTTTTGGTTTTTCGAGACGGGTTTCTCTGTCATTATGGGGTAGTCTTAACTGTCAACCTGTTGAGATTGAGAATCACCTCAGAGTGGGACCTCTGGTATGTCTGTGAGGGGAGTTACCGTAAGGTTTAATTGACATGGAAAGACCCACTCTAGGAAGACCCTAGCCCATGGGTTGAAGTCCTAGATGCAATAAAAAGAAGAAAGTGTGTGGAATACCAGAATTCTCTCTGTGTGTTTCCTGACTAAGGATGCAATGTGATCCTCAGCCTCATGCCTCTGCTGCCGTGCCTTTCCTCTTGCTTCCTTAAACCTATCTCTTCACAGCTACCAGAAAGAAAGAATAAATATTCCACATGATAGGAATCCTAGTAAATTTGTACTGAGATTTTTGTGGCCATTGAATTACATCCAGAAAGACACAGATACAGATACTACCATTTGGTACTGTTACTTAATCCTCTTAAGCCTTAGTCTTCTTGGCTATGGAGGTGAATAATATTGGTCACTAACCTACCTGGGAGGCATGTCATAGGGATCAAATGAAATCATACATGGAAAAGGCTTGGCATAGTGCTCAACACATACTAAATACTTAAATATTGTAAAAATTGCAATCATGCAAGGGATTGATTGAATTAAAATTAAATCAATAAACATACTTTCCTACTATGGGGAGTCACTGTTATAGAAATGCATGTTCATTAACATATACTCAATTTGTACTCCATCGAATGTTTATCAGTTGTTTGAGTAGATTGCAAGAACTCCAGGTTAGTGGATTGTTCTGTTTTCACTGGGTTGAGGCTAGGATAATTTAGGCAGAAAGAATACATTCATTCCATTGGGATTTGTCCAAAGCATGTGGTTAAACAAATCTATTAATAAATTGTGACTTCAGTAAGTGAAGGTACACACAGGCATCAGGCATGCTGAAATGATATTTTGTTAATAGACTGGCCTGGCAGGTTGGAGTGTTCTTTTCAGCTTTTTAGCAGCAACAAGCTGCTTCCTAGTCAAGAATCTTAAAATAACTATGTCATTACATAAACATTCTACAATCTACCGTCTGCCAATCCATATTCTGTTTCTTTGGGAAGAAAATGAACCAAGATGAATTTGAATGCCAATGTTCTTTAAGACCGTGGACATCCCAAATGAAAGTACTGAAAGACTCATGCTCCAGGTATGTCTGACTTTTGCAATATTATTTTATTGCAAAGGTACAAATTTTATAATCCCACCTGTTGGAATCAGCATTAAACAACATGCAATAATAATATTGCTATGGAGATAAGGGCATAAATCATTGTAGGTGCTGTCAGCATGGCCAACTGAGCCTTGGGGACTCTGAGATGATCCCCACAGCAGAAGGAATAGCAAATATGGCTTGTTTAACAATTCCAACAGCACCTTAGAAGTAAAGTGCATTAGAACTAAATTGGATGCAGTTGAATGTCTCTACCCTTCACTGGTAGAACTCAGGTAGCAATGAGCGAGTCAGACAAGTCCAATAGATCCCAGAGGGACAAATCAGACTCTCCAGTGAAAACTGGAAGGCATAGCAAATAGAGGAGGAGGCAGATAATAAAGGGGGAAGCAATCTCAGGAAGTGGTTAAGTGGTTCTTATGGAAGAAGTTGGCAGTGACGAGCAGTAAGCAAAAGGGCAAAAGCCAACAGTGGCTTTTGATGACTCAATAGGACTGGATCACAAAGAGCAAGTAAAGCAAAGGTTGAGAGACAGAACAAGAGACAGACTCACTGCCGAACCACTTGAGTAGTCCCCTCAAAACAGGAGCAGTATTGGTGGAAATCAACTCAATCAACATGTTAAGTAGATAATCCTCAAAGATGGCTCCCAGCAAACCAAGTCTCATCACACTGATTTGGGGCCAGCCATTTGGTCTTTTTCAACCAATAGAACTTGGCAGGGATGGACACAATAGGTTTTCTTGTTTGTTTGTTTGATTGGTTGGTTGGTTTTGTTTGAATTCTACAACTTTTAGTTCTATCACCTGGAATCTTTTCTCCTAGAAATCAGCTACCAAATTGTGATACCCCCATATTTTCTAGAGAAGTCAAGACATCAACAGTTCAAACAGTGTTTACAGAAAATCCCATGCCAAATTCTAGCCATGTAGAGGATATCCAGCCAAGTGAAGGTCTAGTGTGGTCCATCACATGGAACAGAAGAACTACACAGCTGATCCCAATCAACTCAGAATTATAGAAGAAAAGGTGGTAATTTCTCGAAGCCACTTATATGTGGGATATTTACTATCCAGCAATAACAACAATAAAAAGAGGGATCTGTGAAGGTCCCCGGCATGTATAAGAAAAAAAAGGGGGACAGTTGGAACTATGAATTTGAATATCTTAAGGAAAATTTAAATTTTGTTTAACAGTCCCTTAAAGATAGAGATTTATACAATATATTTGAGTTTTCTGTCAAAGAAGTTGAAACACAATAGTTTATAGCTAACAGGTAAAATTAATTTATCTAAATAGTCTCCTCTTTGTTATATAACCATGATTTAGGATGAGGTGGTGTGGACAGTTTAAAGAATTTTTCAGAGTTCTCAGTTCCATAGGTCACCAGAATTAATCCTGACCATGGAAATCTAGCATCATTCTTCTCCAAATATTGCTGTTTCTTCATATGCTACTATAACTAAATGTGATTTCTTCAATTTAGGGTCTCAGTCTCAAGCAAGTTTTCATAGCCATCATGGCAATGGGTTACATAAAATTACTTCTTTGTTTGTTTCAGAGGAACATCTTTGGGAAACAGCATGCTGTATCAAGTAGAACTTGGAAAGATGGCTAGAGATAAGTAATGCTAGGTTACTAGTACTCTAGAATTCCCCCAGGAAGGGAGATGTTACCCTGTGAACCATGGGGAGCTAGAAAAGGTCAGAAGTCAAGGGGTGACTTGAAAAAATTACCTATGTATGTAGATAATAACTTAGGAAGAGGCCTCTCTTGCCTCTGAAAAAATTAGAACTTTTATAGTATGAAGTCACAGAAAGGCAATTTCAGCTTTCCGATTCCCAAACAGTAATGAAAATCACAGCTTTGGATTTTCAGGAATGGAAGTTTTGTAAGGAAACATTCTTTGCTCACCAGGTAGCAGAGCACTAATAGATTTGGCAGAATGTCTGAGTACATAGGACAGAAAGACTAATCTCTGTAGAATCCCCAAGTCTGTATCCCCCATCACCCACATGGTGTGAGACCAATAACTCACAAGTTCTGTTTACCATTATTTTACCAATCTACATTTTCTCTGAGGCGAAATTAAAATAATCAGGTAGAGATATCTATAGGGTGATGTATGAGTTTGTCTGCAAACAACAGATGGAAAAAGACTAGATGGAAAGCAGAAGAAAGTTGTATTGCCAAACCAGACAACCTGTAGAGTGTGCAGGGGCCAAAAGGAACTCTGGAGCCCAGGGAAACATAGGAGTCAACAACAATGACTCAGCCTCTGACTGCATCTCCAGCAGCCAGATCCAATATAGTTATCAATAATGTCTTCTATCCCAAAGAGCAATTTATCACATTCTTTGAGGATATCTCCTCAAGATCTGGATTTTGACAGCAGCAACATATAACCAGGCCTCTGGCTCATGTAGAAGGGCCCCTTTATGGAGCTCCAGGACATGAGTAAGCCACAAAAAAAAATGGGAAGTGAGAGCCCTTGAAAGCCACAGGAAGTGTCAGGGGTGTAAAAGATAGCATGACTCTAGATCTCACCTTGGGGGAGAGGGGTAGGAGATGGAGACCAAGTAAAGTGGCTTGAGAGTTTATCTCAGCTGGCAGAGTAGAGATACCCACTGTACGTTATTACATAAATGAATCCAAAGGCACCTTGTCCTGAATATAGTTTTGTAATCCTACCCAAAGAACCAAACCAACCAGAAGAAAAATATTCCTTCTATCTACAATAGACCTGAACTTCTTACCTCCACCAGTTCTCCAAAATGGCCTGTCTGGGTATACATGACTTTTAGTGGGAAAAGAAACTAGGCCTTGGGAAGGTGTTTTATCACCCACACCTCAAAGCAAAAACCAAGAGCCAGCACACAGGTTCTACACAGGTGGCACTTCTTTGTGCTCTTCATTCATAGGTGTTTCAAAAGTTCCAGCCTTCATGCCTGGCCTGAAAGGCTACTGACTCCTTCACAATGATCCTAAATGCTTATCTGTCTTAACAGATGAAACAGGGTACAGGAATACACATCCACCCTTCACCATACTTCTTTAGTTCAACTAAAGTAGAAGGCTGTAGGGAGAGTTGATTGGCTCAGGACCTACTTCAGTAGAGTCACTTACCTGTTTTGTCGGCAGCAGAAGGGTCCTAAACATAAACACTTAGATTTTCTTGGGATTGTCTATACACAGTTGTCTATAAAATGACTGAGGAAAACCTCTGCTCAGACCCTAGGATTGTATTGGTGAAATTATTATGGCCACTCCATGTAGTTATAAAAGGAAGATTTATTTAGTGGGTAACTTACAAAAAAGGGAAAGGTAGGTTGTGGGGTCTGGGGAAGGTGCATCGAAGTCCAGCGGTGTCCTCTGGAGCTCTGCTTTGACTTGCCATGTAAAGTCTTAAGAATGTTGATTTTATAGACTGGTATCTAAGGCACAGAAAAGCCTTAAGAAACCTGGAACCAAGAAAATGGCAGTTTGCCTTTATGATTGGGATATAGGAAATGATTGAAAAATGTCATCTCTCAGATAGCTACATATCTATTGACCTTTCTGAAGGTGGGCTCTACACAGGCATGTACCTAACTCTGAGGACTAAGTATAATCATGACAAATTCTGCCTGGTCTTGAACTCCCTGACTCTACCACCCAAATCACCTAAAACCAATAATTTTCTAGTCTTGTATACCTTCATTCTATCAACCTGAAATCTGAGATGATGTTAAGAAACAAAAGAAACATCAACAAAAATAAAATCAAGGAAGACAGGGTTGCATTAAATGTGTTAAGTGTTGATATGCCCATGGGTCGTCTATGTTAGCAAAATCTTGAGCACTACACTCACATGTGATAGTCATAAGCTGCAGAGGAATTTCATTTCTGTCCACCTAAAGGGATCCCAGCTCATGCCAAGAAAAGGAACAGGGAATCTTTCTCCTTCACACCAGCAACTTACTCTCTTGAAACAAGAGGCTTCACCTCTCTGTGGAGAAAAATGCCTACCATGTAAGAGAGAAGGAATGTGTAGTGTAGTTCAAGTGGCATCAGTTAAACACCAGAAAAAAACTGAATATCACTCCTACTTGCAATTCTGCAAGAGAAGAGACATGAAGACCACAAGGACAACAGAAATGGCCTCTGCATCTCAGAAAATCTCTAGAGAGCCTCAATCATGGGGGAATAATATTCACCTGATGTTCAGTTTTATCTACTTGGCCATGTATGACCCTGAGAAGCAAATTGCCTCTACTGTCTAGTCTAAAGCCATGTAGGCATGATCATTCTATAGACATGGGCAGAAGGCAGACTCTAGCTTCTATCACCCTGGATTCTAGAGGATGGAGAGTGGGGAGTTTTTAGTATACAAGTAGAAAATAAAAGATTAGCGGGGAGATCAAAGGTGTGTTTGGAAGAGGAATTCAAAGTATTTAACTGCTGGACAGTCTCATACCATAAACAGGTTTCAAGACCCAGTGTGGATCAGAGGAGCCTGAATGAATATGTCTCTACTCAATCCCTCCCCTCTAGGAGAGGAACTGAGGACTTTCTACCCAAATCATCTGTATCCCATCCAGCTGTCTAGGTAGTGAGCTTTGCTCTGTTGGCTTTTCAGATTGCTGGCCAATTACAAGGGGCTTTTCTACATGGAAAATTGCTTGGGCTGAGTCTCTGATTGATAGTTCTGACCACAGACCTCCAGAAGGATAGGGTACAGATGCTTAAGAAAGGACAAGAAAGGACATTGGCCTTTCAAGAGGGGTTCTTCCTTTGTGGACTTCTGAAAGCCATATCTGTACACAACTAAATGTATCTGTGGGGCCATCTGAGGCAAGGGACACTAGATGTAGGGCAATGTGAGAGTGAGGATGATTGATGGGCAGACAACAGCTGGAAATGGGGGGCACAATTCAGGTGAGGCAAGTTGAGCACAGGACACATCAAGACAAAATGAAAGAGGAGAGCCAGTAGACTAAGTGCCATCTTGCCTGGCACAGTACCAATGCCATGTTCTAAAACATGAAACAACTCTGCAAGGAAGAAATAATTTGAGATTCTGGAGACAAAAGGAAGATTGTATTAGGAAGAAGAGTGAATGGAGATTTGAGCCACAAGTTTCAAAGCAAGGACATGAAGGGAAGGTTAGAAGTGTAACACACTATTCAGAGAAGTCAACTCAGGATCATTCAGTCTCCTTTCTGGTGCCAGCAGCTGACATTTGGAGACAGATTCTAAGACCCAAGAGGCCATTTATTCATGAACTAAATGGAGTTCCAACTTTGTCTTTTGCCCTAGTCAAAAGAAGCAAATATATTGCTACTTACTAGCCATCCTCAACACACCTACACTTCCGACTCAGTAGACACTTTTGTACTGTTGCATTTTTTTTCTTGTTTTATTTTCAGCTGGAAAGAGCAGCCAATCACCATTCTCTCTCTAGAATATTCTTCTGTGGAACTCCAAGTTAATTAACATTTACTGAACCTTCCTTGGACACATGGCACAGTGCCAAATTCCTAAAAGAAAATGAGAGTGGCTATGTAGGCTGGTGCAGAAATGAGAGGATAAAAAGCAAGGAAGTTTATCAGGTCAAAGCCAAGTTTAACACTTTTCTTTCACGTGGTTACAAGAGCCCACTCTAGCAATAAACAAACCCACGAGTGGTAGGAAGCATTTGCATTGATAAATACATGGTATTTAAGGGCTTCTTCTAATCACCTCCCTTCAAATAATTAAAGAATATGAATAAATGTTTGCGAGTCTTTTCAGGTTAATGTCTATGAAGCTTAAGCAGACCCTCTGAGGCAGTCATAGTCGGAGACATTAATCTGCAACTGGACTCTGAACTGCTTGCTGCATCCATTATCCTTTATTACGCACAAGCTTTGCACTCCTTTTGTGTGTGACCATAGTTCTCAACCAGGGCTGCCCATTAGTATTATGGGTACTT